ACTTCGCTGATTCGAGTTTAGAATTCGAGTTTTTTTACAGTAAAAAGCTCTCACAAACAATCACATTTAACTTTTTTACTACAGTAAAAAGCTATTACATAAAATCACATCTCAACTTGAATTCTAAACTCGAATCAGCGAAGTCAACAATGAAATAATTTATTTTTTCTCATCCTGCAAAACAAACTCCCTTATTACAAACAAGTTCGAAGCAAAAACAAAAAAAAAAACAAAAAAACAAAACAAAAAAGAACAAACGACAACACAGATAGCCAAACACAACACTATCATATTGTGGACTAGAAGAGTCAAAAAAAAAGTTTTTCAGCCGCTTTAACTATTAACTTTAGAGCTCAAAGCATCTTCTATTTTCTTAGCAATGGTTTGGAGAGAAGAATCATGATACCCCACCATAATCTCATAAGTCCAACCCTCAGCGGGATCTCCAACAAACGACCACTTGATCTCACTCCCGCCCTCTTCATCACCGTCGATCGGCAATACTTGCATGGTCGCCACCCAAGACTTGAACCCCACGTTGTTTTCAGTGATCTCGTAACTCAGACTCCGTTTGACCGGATCGATCTCTGTCAGCTTCTCATTGGCCCACTGGGTAATCGTCTCGCTGGAGGGCGACGTTGTCGTGGACCCGCAGTAGCGGATAACACCCGGCTGAACGCCGGTGACCTCACTGCCCACTTGGTGACACTGGTCGAGCGTTGGGAGCAGCTTGTGTAGGTTGAAAAAATCCGCAATCAGAGGCCAAACATCTCGTGCTTTTGAGCTTTTTAACTGACCTGAGACTTCTCCTTCCCATTTTTCCTGGCTCTTTTCTTCAGCCATTGTAGAAAAAAAGAAATAATAATAATAATAATAATAAAAAATTGAAGAGAAGAGATATTGAAAAATATTTGAGAAAGTGTGAATATGAATATATGATATGTTAACTTGCGTGTGCTAATACGGGAAACATAATAGGAACCTTTTAGGGTCCGTTGGAAGCATTTATATGTAGGATAGCACTGGATAGCATTGGATAATGGATACGGTATGGATGGTGTATATGTACCATCTGCATAGATGATAATATTTTTCTTGTCGCTAGTCAGGCCACTTCCAATGGTTCTAATGCTAACAGAGATAAGAGTGGGAAAATTTGGCATGATTTTTTCGTTGATAACGATCAGTATTTATATATATATATATATATATATGTTTTTTTAAGGGATAACGATCAGTATTTATAGATAGTACAAGATGGTAAGTTCTCGAATCACTTGAAGTCAGAGATGTAACTTATGTACAACCAATATACAGTTAATGACTATAAACAATAAAGGGAACAAATAACTAATTGATTTACAATTGTTAACAGTTTTTTATATCTCTATTAATAATTAATCAATTATGCGCTTATTTTGAGGGATTTTTTAAATTAGGTACTGTTTTTTTCTCCTAAAAAGAATTATTATTTTAGCTCATAGATTAATTTTTAACGGTTTTATCTATTTGGAAAAAGTTCTATAAGTGTACTATAAATTTTTAATGTGAGCACTTACATTTAAACCATTAAAAAATTCATCTGGCGATCAGAAGAAAAATGGGTGGTTCCTACTGTAAAAGTTCTCTATTCTTAAAGCAGAATATAAAGTAAAATAAAATGAGTAACCATTAAAACCACACTCATATACATTAACATATATATATATATATATATATGTGTGTGTATATATAACAATATGCTAAGTACTCCCTAGAACTAACTGCTAAGGTGCTAACTCGTCTTTCTTTTGGAAATTAAGGAGTTTAATTATGAAAAAATTTTAGAATTAACCCTCAAAATTTAATGTGAAATCAATATATATTGCCCCTTTTATTCAATATTTCCTCTTTTATTTAAGTTCTTAAAGTTGATCTATTTTAATAATGGGGCAGTTAAAATTAAAAGGTCAATATAGAAATATCACTATTATAATAGGATAGTTTTGAATTTTTCCCTTCAGTTATCCTCTATTCTATTGCAATTCAAATCATACTACACATATTTTGCAAATTAAAGAAAGAAGAAAATCTAATGACCCCAAAGATAACAACAAAACGAACCAATTAACCTTTAATTACTTGAAGCAAAAATAAAAATGAACAAACGACAACAGATTAATGCCAAACACAACAACAGATCCATGCATATATTTGTAGAATACAAGACTCAAAAAGGTTTTTCAGCTTCCCCCCCACAAAAAAAAAAAAAAGACGTTTTTCAGCTGCCCCAACTAATTAACCTGAGCCTGATGGCTCAAAGAATCTTCTATTGTCTTAGCAACGGATTGGACATTAGAATCATAATACGCCAACATCATCTCATAACTCAAACCCTCAACCGGATCTCCACTAAACGACCACGTGATCTCGCTCCCGCCTTCTTCATCACCGTCGATTGGCAATACTTGCATGGTCGCCACCCAAGACTTGAATCCCACGTTGTTTTCAAGCACCTCGTACTTCAGACGCCGTTGGATTGGGTCGAGCTCTAGCAGCTTCTCTTTGGCCCACTTGACAGTCGCCTCGCCGGAGGGCGATGTTACCGTGGACGCGGCGTACCGGAGCACACCCGGCTGAAGGCCGGTTACCGGGCCGTCCAATAGGTGACACGTGTCGACCGATGGGAGCCACTTGTGTAGGTTGAGAAAATCCGCATAAAAAGGCCAAACATCCCGTGCTTTTGAGCCTTTTAACTGAGCTGAGACTTTTCCCTCCCATTTTTCCTGGCTCTTTTCTTCAGCCATTGGAGGAAAAAGAAAAGAAAAAAGAAAAACCTTTGAATAGAGGAGATGGTGGAAAAATGTCGGAGAAAAATTGAATTCTGGATACTTGGGTTCTATATGGATGCTTTAAGTACTAAAATGGGAAACATAACATATTCCCAGAAAAAAGATAAATAGGAAGTTTTAGGTCCGTTCGAAGCATGGGATAAGATTGGATAGGATGAGAATGGTGTAAGGCATTGGATAGGA